AATACTGGCTATTTTGGAAATTTACATATCGATTTTTAGGAGGGAATAAGCTAAGACGCCTACTTTTTTTGACAAAATTTACTTGAAAAAAAGTGGTGAGACAATGAGACTTTTTTGTGGTTGTTCCTTGTAAGTTTTACGATTATATAGAGATAACCAAAGTTTATAATACTCCTGGTACCGTTCAAGGCACTCTATATTCCCAGAATAACCTTCTGGTTTAGATGCCGAATATAATAGAGGAGTCCACCAACCAAAGCTTGACTTCTACAAAAACCAGTCCAAAGTAGACTGCATCTTGGTTTTACACTCCTGGTACTTCATCGACAATATACCTACTTCTGTAGAACCAAGTTTATTATTTACTTTAGTGTCTTCTATAGTGCTGACCATAGTTCGGTTTCTTGATTTTTGTTGTCTAGGTGATTGTTGAAAAGAGTTTTTTTTGAATATATTACATATTAATTTTACAAATTTAGAAAGTTAAAGTACAATAATATATTATATATCAATTTATGAATTTATAAGTTTAATTAATGATTTGCCACTTATTCAGAGAGTAGTCATAGTGTAATGTAATGTAGTTTATATATAAAAATTAAGGTTTTCTGAATGTAGTGTATTTATATCCAAAACTTTTTTTTATACTAAGTTAATTACCTTTGGACCTCTAATTGAAGTTGTAGAGCTTATCAAAACAAATCTAATAGTGGTTGAATCATCAAAATCAGCTTGGTGAATTATGAAATATCTTTAAAAAAATATTTTATCAACTATATAAACTTCTCTTTCAATAATAGTATTGTTAAAAGAGAAGTTTATATAGTTGACAAAATATTTTTTAAAGATATCTTATGATTTACCAAGCTGATTTTAATGATTTAACCACTATTAGATTTGTCATGATGAGCTCTACAACTTCAATTAAAGACCCAAAAATAATTAACTTAATATAAAAAAAAGTTTTAGATATAAGCATGCTATATTCAAAAAATCCTAATTTCTATATATAAACCATATCACATTATACTATAACTACTCTCTGATTGAGTGGTGAATCACTAATTAAAGTATAATAATATATTATATATCAATTTTACAAATTTAGAAGTTTAAAGTACAATAATATATTACACATCAATTTTACGAATTTAGAAGTTTAAAGTACAATAATATATTGTATATCAATTTTACAAATTTAATATTAATAGAAAATATACTTTAAATTTCAAATAATTTTTTTTAATAAAGTTATTTATAATTATTATTATTTTTTTTACAAAAAATCTTAATCTTCTAAGTATTATCATTGAGTTTGTTTTGCAAAAATCTAAGTTTATTGAATTTTGACCTATCATTATTGAGTTTGTTTTGCAAAAATCTGAGTTTATTGAATCTTGACCTATCATCGTTAAGTTTGTTTTGCAAAATCCAAGTTTATTGAATCTTACCTATCATCATTGAATTTGTTTTGCAAAAATCTAAGTTTATTGAATCTTGACCTATCATCGTTGAATTTGTTTTGCAAAAATCTAAGTTTATTGAATCTTGACCTTATTATCATTGAGTTTGTTTTGCAAAAATCTGAGTTTATTGAATCTTGATATCAAATTTTTTTAAAACAACAAGTGATAGAATTTAAATTAATATATGAAATTATTGAAAATATGAATATTTTTTTAATCTTTATTTAACAATATAATAATTTATTTATAATAAAAAAAATAATATAAATAATACAATAAATCTTTAAATTAAAAACTATCTTTACTAGTAACTTTATGAATATCTCGTATTAATTCTTCATATTCATCATAACTATTATAACTACTATCATTAGAATCATATTCACTAAATCTATTATTATCATTATTAACAGAATTATTAATATTACTAATAATATTAAGAACATTAGTTTGAAAAATAAAAGATTCATTATTTATAAATTCATTAACTACTTCATCATATGAACAAAAATTCATATAATAATATTTATTTGTATAATTAAAACTTTGTCTAAAAAAATTTGCATAAAAATTCAATCAATCTTCATACTGTTTAACAGTATTTTTACCAATTTTTTTTATATTGGTTAATAGTATCTTAAATAATAATATTCTTTTTTTTCGATAATTCTTTCAAGATATTTAATAGATTCAACATAAATTTCTTAAATTTTTTTAATTTGTTTATTTAATTGTTGAATTTCTTCTTGTTAATTTTGATGAATTCTTCTTTCTTCTCTCAAATTCTATTAAACATCGTATAATTCTTCATGTAAAGTAATATTAGATATTTTTTCTTTAAAAGTTTGTAAATATAGATATAGTTTTTTACCAGTTTGTTGTATTAAAATTAAATTGTTTAACATTTAAATAAAAATAAAAAAATCTAATATTTAAATAAAAAATTAACTAATTCTATTTTTTTTAAATAATTCTTTTAAAATATCAGCTGTTCTTTTTTTATCTTTTCTGTATATAAATAATTGGTTACATTTGGATAATCATTTAAATATTTAATCTTGTGATCAGAAAATTTTTTACGCCAATAAACATTATCACCAATAATAATTTCTTCTCTCTC